GGTCAACCAGTGATAAATCTGTACTTTGATCTTAATAAGACCTTTGACGGTTTCTCATACAACCTTCTTCCTTTAGAACTTTCTTCATTTGGCATACGGAACCCACTATTATCCTAGCTCAAATACGAAGATGTCAACAGCTCCGGTGAGGACCTTTCTGGATCAAGCGTATTAAGCTAAATCTTGTCTTTATCTACCGGCTTATAAATAGCATGCACCCCTTTGTACTTTATAATATCAGCCTACGACATGTGTAATAAAAAAAGTATTCTACCAACTCTGAGAACCTGAACAAACTTAAATTAAACTTTCTTTGTTATTCGCTATTAAACCGTGTGAAACAGATTCGCAGAAAACTTTCGTTGCACTGAGACAATAACCCGATCCAAAAGTTTACTTGATGACTATCTTTTCGAAGTGATTTGTCACCTAATAAATATTAGTGTGAATAACAATGATTGATCCAAACAAGGTCCAATATCTATGTAATTGGTTGGAAAAAGAGTGGGACCTTTGAAATATTGCTCGTTTATTTTATATTGTTTTCCATCCTTTCGCCTAAATATTCGTAGTCCGCACATATTCATATTTTTCATTACAATTATTATTATTATTGTTATTATCATAACTGTTTCTCCAGAAACATTCGCTATTCTTTTCCCCTTTTCTCCTTCTCCTTTTTATCGCTTTCCCCGTTTCTACACAATATCTTGTGTTACGCTTAAATAAAGTAACCTTTTATATTCATTTTACGTTCATCACGCAGGTATGAGCCATAAAAGTGTATATCTAACGATTATTCTTTGCTATTATTCTAAATCATTACTGTACAAACTTATCCTACCGTTAAGTCTTGCTGTTTATTTCTTTATTTTTATTCATTCGGTAATACATACATTACCGCTTATTCTTCTTACGTTTTCACTAACACGATAAATTACATACAGTTTCATGTTTCTATCCTCAATTTTTCTCTCGTCTTTCTTCAAAGTCAACTTAATATTTGTCTAGACTCATTTAAATACGGCAGATATTATGCAAACATTATTGGAACTTGAATAGAACTGCAGTACTGAGAAAAGTCACAATGGCTTCTTCACAACACCAATTTACCAAAAAACTGTTTGTGAACAATTATAATTGTTAGGTATGCAGAGGAATATGTCAATAATTATCGTGTCAAGTCGAATGGTGTCCTTGGACGTTAAATGTACATTTCCTATTGGTCGATATTTGCTTCAGTTGTTTAATATTGTGTAAATGTTGTTTCCTATTTTTATGGTATGATGTGGTCTGCTTGGTTAGTATATAAAGAGAGTGTGCTTGCAATATAATGATTCATATCTCAGAGGCTGTGACTTTCGTTCTGGACTCAACTGGCTGGGATAGACAGGGGAGCAGGGCCAATCAGGACACTAGGTCGTTCGTACGTATTTACGTGTCACTGTAACCGATCGGTCGATATAAACGCTGCTTATCAATAACCTGCAGTCACACACCCGTTACAACAATTGGCGACGGGGTAGAGAAAACTTTGAACCCTCTAATTGGACGAGATTCAGCTTAATTATTTTGACCAACCAGCGTCCAGATTTATTATCGGTGTTCTTGGAAGTCATTTGTTGTTAATTGGTCACAGTATTTCTTATTACCCTGCTGTCTCAGAAAATGACTATACTTCCTGATCAATTGCAGCTACTACTTGACCGCCAGCAGCAGCGTTTCAGACAGTGCCATTTGAATGTTTTGGACAATTTACGCACGCGACTGCTAAATCTCCCGTGTTTTGGAGATGTGAAAGAAATTGATGAATTAATTTCTCAGCTGCATACTGAACTCGAAAATGACTGCAGGACGTATGAATATGAAAACAAAAGCCTCTATGAATCCATAACGAGCAGTAATGCAAACGAGGCAGTCGCTCATGATCCGTCCTGCGATTCAGAAGCATGCCCTGTCGTGGGTTCAAATCCCACGGTGCCCGAAACATGTGAGGTATACAGCTCACAAGAAGAACTCCTCGTGCCAGAAAATGTGTATCATGCATCAAATAATGGTCAGGAATCTAATACAAATTTCAAGGATGCTGTTTATTCCAGTGACCTATTATCCACTGATGGAATCTTGAGGAGTTCTGGTGAATATGTTTCACAAGAATCAAACCTTAATGACCTCATGTCTGGTGTCGCTAATCCTCATCATCTAGTCAGTTTTAGTGAACCCTCTACTCAATGCGAGAAATATGCTTTAAATAGAATCAGACTAACTGTTACTTGGGTACATGAGGACCCAACATTATTCCGCGGGGGAGGACGGACGCAGGAAATTTTAAAATCGAGATATCAACTCCGGATCCTCAAAAAAGAGGGGGAGGTGTTAGGTATGCAGAGGAATATGCCAATAATTATCGTGTCAAGTCGAATAGTGTCCTTGGACGTTAAATGTACATTTCCTATTGGTCGATATTTGCTTCAGTTGTTTAATATTGTGTAAATGTTGTTTCCTATTTTTATGGTATGATGTGGTCTGCTTGGTTAGTATATAAAGAGAGTGTGCTTGCAATATAATGATTCATATCTCAGAGGCTGTGACTTTCGTTCTGGACTCAACTGGCTGGGATAGACAGGGGAGCAGGGCCAATCAGGACACTAGGTCGTTCGTACGTATTTACGTGTCACTGTAACCGATCGGTCGATATAAACGCTGCTTATCAATAACCTGCAGTCACACACCCGTTACAACAATAATATTTGGACTGGAGTGACCAGACCGGGAATCTGTTGCTAATACTCTAGCACCTTTGATATAATAAATGTGTATTTTTTAAGGATCCTCAATCAGATTATTTATTGGGTTATCTTTGCTCTTCAGGCTAAATAAAGTCTTATTATTTCTTTACGCATGATTTCTCGCTACTTACTGTTAACGATATACACATACTTTTCAGTGTCGTTTTCGAAATCTGACGTTTTTTAAAATTAATGTGCTTTTTTCTACATGGGGGCCGGTACGTTGTCAAACCCACATGAGATATTCTAGTTTGTAAACAGGTAAACCTACTCATTATCCTCAGGCCACATTTTTACCTTATCACTTATTGGCTGATCATGTCTGTATACTTTTTAAATGGCCGTATATGTGTTAATTGCCTTCTCTACTCAACACTTGTCTGTAATTTATCTTTATTCTGACCATAAACATTAAGCCATTGTTGTATTTAAAGACAGCTGAATTATTATACGGACAGGAATCCTTGAAATTGCAATCTCAGCCATATAGAACTAGGTAGGCACGAACAAACTAATTGTATTTAGAATTAGAAATCAAGCGGACAATTAAGTACAAAAAAATAAAGAGCTCACACAAACACTATAGTCACGCTTGATTAAATTGATTTGGCTCACCCACCTCCACTGCTCATCACTTTGTTTCTCCCCATCACTTCCTTCACTTCGTTTCCCTGATTGTCTGTTCAAACTAATGAGTGTACGAAATGTACGTATTCAAACTTCATTCTCGTATTTGAATTATTTTATTCCATTATTCTCTAACTCGATTTGGGTCGATTGTAGATTATTAACGTAGATGATCTATGTCGAATGATCGAGAGCTTACTTGAGTTAGACGGGAATCGTGAGACCAGCAGCTAACTTCGAGGTCACACTTCGCAGTCAGCACTTAATGTGGTTTACTCCTTCGTCGTATCAAGGTACTATTGCTGCTTTGAAGACCGGATAGCACAAAGGGTGTTATTATAGAAATATATTAGAATAGGTACAAGCTGAAGTGTGACCATCACCTCATGGACCAGTTCATGGCGTACGATTAACTGATGAGCGTTGGTCGTCCTCGGGCCTTGATAAGGATTGACGATCTGTCCGGTTCTCTGTGACCCAAATGCCGAATGATTTGGCTAGGGCTCAGTGACATTTCACTGGCCCTACATGATAATTATATAAGAGAGTAGCTGAGATTTATATTTCAGTAACAATCACCATACGATCGAACTGGAATCAGATACTCGCAGGCCAATAAAATTGTTAGCCCGACGTACAGACGTGACTCAATTTTCGACGGTCCAATTAGATGGAGGGCCACTAAAATTTAAATGGTTCAGAACTTACGATCTGAATTTTGTACTTAAGACAAATCATCGAAAAAATGCATCTTGATTTCCTGAAAACAGCTCACAATGCAAAGTTTTATGCGTAAAGAGCAAATTTTTACTAGAATGACTTGACAATAACAGTCATTAGAGGTTACCAGTTGTAAACCTAACCTTAAATGTGTCCTCATTGCTAGTTTACTTACTGACAACTTTAAATTCTGGGTATATAAGGCACCTTTAGGTCACATCAAATCTTGAATTCGTTTAAACTAATATGCGTCTGAATGAAGCCAAAAATTACTCACATTAGACTCGTCTTCGACTATCAAGAATTTACTTTGTGGCATAAACGATTCTGGTAGTAATGTAGGTTTGCTGTGGCTGTGGATAGCGGAAGCACAATTATATTCATTTGAGACTCCATGTCGTCCATCAATTTTGTCACTATTATGAGTAACAGGTCGACGGTAAACTCGTGTTTCATATCGTATATCGATGACAAATTAGGTTACCTGTTAAAAGACTTCAAAAATAAGAACGTTTCGCATGAACACAAGATCCTAGTTGTTATCCATCAAGAAATCATCGCAATGATAATACGGTCGACAGTATCAAATGATCATTCCACCATTACGTACTGAAAAGTGGATGCAAGTAATTTCCCATTGTCAAGGTTTTCAAAGGCGTTTAGTTTGTGAAAAATCAACTCCTGGTAAGTAACTCTTCAAAACTGTCTATTTCTAACGATTTTAAGAAATACCACGATAACACCTAAATGCCGCGGAAACACTAAGAGTTAGTTGTAACGCATACCCGCCCAGTTCCTTGTCCTTTCCAAACTAACTGAAGGCCATTTGAGCAGTCGTTGGTTAGTTGGCCGTATCTTATCGACATGAAACTGGCATTTGTTTGATGAGTTTTACAATATTAAGGAGGTTATACTTAATAAATTTAGGTAACTGGATCAAATAAAGGTATCGGGTTTAGTATCATTGAAAAACTTTTGAAATTATACCGCCCTACAGGAGAATGGGATGTGTTTCTAACAGGTGACCGTATATCAACTAATAACTTAGCAGCTCGTAATATTGGACTTGGTCAGGAAGCTGTGAAAAGGCTCAATAACAAGGGCATGGATGTTAAATTCCATCAATTAGATATAACTGATCGAAATAGTCGAAAAGCGTTCCTAACATTTGTAGAGAGAAACTATCCCAATGGAATCAACATTGCAGTGAATAATGCTGGAATTGCCCACAAAGTCGTTCTATTAATTTAATATATTTCTGTAGGCTAACTGTTTGGTTCCATTTGGCGATCAAGCACGTAGTTTGGTGAACACCAACTTTACTTCAACCGTCGATTTCACGGAAGAGTTCATTCCTTTACTAGCTGAAAATGCCAGGTACTCTATTAGAACCAATTCATACTCATAAGAGTCGTTAATATCTCTGCTACTCTCTCTCTCTTCATGTTGAAGAAACTCAGTAGTGATCTTTACGAAAAATTTGTCAGCCCTATGAATCTTTCGGAGTTGAAAAATCTTATGGTGGAGTTCGTAAGGTATATCTTTACTGAAATACATCTCAAATTAAACATTCTAGTTCAGTAATGCAGCTGGGTTTTTTGCTATACTGCATGTAACTTATGATTTCAAAAATATGTTTTGGTTAATTCAACACTGCCCAACCTCCCAAGTTTGGGGAAATTTTGGGGAATTCTCCAGGGTTTATGAGAAATATTGGGGATTTTCCCCAGATCTGGGAAACGTTTTGGGTTTAAGTGCCATTTGCCCAACATTTTCTATAACCGCTTCCCCAAAATAGATCAAATTTTCCCCAAAATTGGGAGATTGGGTGAGTAGTGACTGGTCTTAAATATGTTAAATCCTTTGTGCTGATCGAGTTTTATTGGGCATGTCACAATTTACTTACTAGTCTAAACGAATCTACATTGCTTGAACGATATTGAGTTGTAAGGTGGTATTTGGAGGTGGTCGACAGGAGAAACCCTGAATCTAGGTTTCTTGCTATGTGGGAATTATCAACATGGCGTGCCTGTAATTGAAGGGGAGACTGATGCTCCTTGGCGGATTCATTCGCCTGCTTCCTAGCTTCACAATCAGTGATGTTAACACAGGTCTATCCAGACTGCATCCAGTGTTTCCAGTCGGCTCGAGTTTCTTGGACTTATGGTCAAGCTGGTCATTTATCAACATAGTTTGCCTAAATAATCGAATTATGTTGCTTTAGATAATTCATTCTCAAGTCGTTACCACACCACAGATATACTTTTAGCAATGCTTAACGCATCAGTTTCTAGAATTAAATTATGCTGTTAAATATAATGTCTACCTGCTGTAAGGTGCTCCTCTTGGATGACTAATATCGCCAGGCTAGAGGTCTTGTCCTAGAATATATACACAGATAGTAGAATCAACAAAATATGTGAATAGACTGTAGGGTTATTCTAACTGCTTGCTGCTTAAATGTTCAGGCAGAATGTAGGTTACTCTAGGCGACTAGTGTTTCCGCGTAGTACTCTACTCGGCTCATTCGAAAAATTGGCCTGTAAGGTGGATATATTTTTTTTTACATACTACGAAATACCACAGAATTTCAATCGATGAACTTTGAGGATATAAGATTCATTATATTCCAGTGTCGAGTTATCTAAGCCTCATTTCATGTATATTTTCGAAAGAACTCAATCGTTTGGATAAAGCCAGTTTTACTTAATATATGTGGATTGATGGAAAACTTGTATTTTGTATTTTAGCTCTGTAAGAACCTGGTGCATGATTTTCCTAAAAAGTTGCAAATTGTAGGTAAGTGCAGCTGTCCACCAGTCTCATAGGCTTACTTTGTAAATGGAAGATCTTTACATGTTTGCTTTTTTCTATTGGATATAGATATATGTGCTTTACTTTAAACTACACGTTTTTGTGATATTACTCGGTTAAATAGTCTGAAATGACCAAAGCTTGATTTGGATCCGTAATACAGAGTTCAAAAACCGAGCATTTCCTAACTATATCACCGCTTCACAGACAAAAAGTGTAAACTTCTGTTTACAGCAGCCTGTGTATGTAGCTTGAAAATGATTGGCACCACTATTCCGAAACATCACTGTATAGACGAGACTATTAAAATAGTATTTGCTTTCTACTTTATTTATTGAGCAACTATTTTCTTTTAAAATATATCATTAGATCTGCTGAGGATGGCACTTATTCTGAGAAAGGTTGGCCTTCAAATGCCTATGGAGTATCTAAAATGGGTCTTACAAAGGCTTCGTTTATTTTCGGTGATATGCTGAAAGATGATCCAAGAGGGATTGTGATAAATTCGGTTAGTTTGTTTTGTCAATATTGTGATGATTCGTGTTTATTTCTGTTCACATCGTACTAGTCCTTATATATTTATACAAAGGAAATAATATGAGTAGTGTTTGCAATAGTTGGTGTTGAGTAGATCATCCATGGTTCTTGTAATCATTTTCCAAATTTAAACGTGATTCTGATCACTACTACAGACAAGGGTTGTTGAAATAGTGTTCTATGCTATATGAGGCCATGTCAAGAATGTCACTCATTACAGTCAGTCAATCAGCTAGAACGTGGGACCATGCACATATGTGCATCGGTCCAAGTTGCCATACCGCATTAGCACAGTAAGATGAACACCGGATTAATAGAAGTAGTTAATTCAATGGTGGTACCTCTAACAGCACTCAAGACCACTGTCACTCATCACACTGCTTTGTTGTCTAACAACCTACTGTAACTCGGAAGTATTTAAGCTAGACTTCGACTGGACTATGCGACGTTGTTCAGGATGCCATGAACTTATTTGTTCGGAAGAATACTCTTATATTTTGAAGATTTAGAATCCTTCTGATCTCTTCTGAAATACTTTTACGATATGGGATCACAAATGGGAATACAAATGATCTTTTCTGGACTGTTTAGTTGAAAGGAAATATAATGATTGTTTAAAAGTTAGTATTTTCCGAAAGCCGACATATTCAGGAAAATTTCTAGATTTTAAGTCAGCGCATCCACACTCTACTAAAGTAACAGTAGATAAAAATTTGATCACCAGAGTTAAAGATCTTGTCACTGAACCTAATGATATGAAAGTGGAAATGAATTTAATTATATCCACTCTAATGATAAATGATTATCTGAAGGATTTTATTAAAAGAATAATTAAGAGTGAAGAACAAAACGATATTTAAAAAAGTGTTAAGCAGAAAGAATGGATTAACACTGTTGTGATCCCATATCGTAAAGGTATTTCAGAAGAGATCAGAATGACTCTAACTCTTCAAAATATCAGAGTATTCTTTCGAACAAACAATAATCTAAGATCAAAACTAGTAAGAATCAAAGACCCAATACACAAGGAAGAACAACAGAATTGTGTTTATGAAATCAAATATAGTTACTGTAATGCAACGTATGTATGTGAAACATCAAGGCAACTAAATGTGAGGGTGAAGGAACACAAACTATGCTTAAAACACATTCCTAAATCTTCAGTTAAGGTAAGGAAACTCGAGAACAAATCAGCGATAGCATTACACTCTATAGAATCGAGTCATACAATTGATTTCAATGGCACAAGTATCCTTTGAAAAGGCTGTAATTCTTGCAAAGAGAGACTAACCGCCGAAGCCCTACACATATGGGCTAATCCAAACGGTATTAATAAGAGAGATGGAATACAACTAGCTGTCCCATGGCAACTAATAATTAAAAAGTAAACCTTATTCCACTCTATCTATATCGTATTAACTAATTATTAAATATTACATTTAACGGTTCAAATCAGTTATCTTATCTGAATATGTTAAACAATTGACTGGAACATTAAAATAACACAAACTTTCAATTAAGAATACATTCTTCCTCTTTGAATTCACTATTTTATCTTGTTTATTTATCTTCATTTAATGCATGCTGTGACATTTTCGATTCATATCATATATAAAAATTATATGTTTTTTTTAACATTCATCGACCGAAGACAATTTATAGTGAATGAAATTTCTTCTTCTCACTTACGTATACACACAATCTGTTATCTTAACACTTCGTTTCACACCACATGTCTCTTACACACTAATGTAAATACCTACTTTAAACATTGTTAGTGTTGATTGGACGACTTATTCGGTATACAGTAAACCGGAGAACCATGTACCTATTTATATTCGATAATTTTGATGTTTGATTATATTTCATTAAAAAAGCTTGGTCCAGATTACCAGGCGAACCGTTGGATTTACTTGGAATTCTTTCACTGAGATTTTACAAATACATTCTTCCTCTTTAATGTCTCACATTAACTAAATACTGTGAAACTATTCCATCAAACTTAGACGAAAGTTCTTATTTGGTTTGTATTTGTTATAATAGTTAAGTCGGTGCCTAAGAAATGTCCCGACCGTAGATGCTATCTTGACGCGGTGGTCGGGCTTGCCCATCGCGATGACCCAACCAAGCTGTATTGGCTGGAACATATGTTCTTGTAGGTTCTACCATGCCAGGCAAGTCGGTTGGAGAACGGTAAGGCTAAAATCAGCAACTCAAGGTCTGAGGGCGAAGTCGTACTACTGACTGTAGAGGGGTGTGACAACAGTAAGGTGTTTCCCTCAGACAACCAGCATCTGCGGAGATGCTGCCTTCTCACAAGGAAGGAAGTGGTTAGAAAAGGTCGACCCTAAAAATGTCACACCTCACGGATTTCCGTCTCCGGTGGTAAGTCCCTTTGAAGAATGGAGCTAACACATTAAGAACCTCCCACGAAAAGGCCGTGCGCGACCGGCCTCAAACAGTTGTCCCTTGGGTTCTGCGGTCACACTACCAGGTCGTTAAGGCCAACATAATTTCAACTTCCTTTTCAGGTTCCTCAAGAAATACCCTTCCACGGTGTGGGCAGCCGGTAAGTGGCATCAGCCCTCATACCCGTAACAGCACACGAGACCAAGTTGGTCACATTCAAATCCCTCCTACACCTAATACCTCTCTTGTCTCCACGACTAACCCTTCATAAGTCTCTTTATCATCTCGCACCACTAGGGCAAACGATTCGAGTACGCGGAACGCTATTCCTGGTCTCCTGAAACCACGCTCTAAACTACACGTAGGAGCTTTCAACGTCCGAACACTGTGCCAAATAGGACAACAGGCTTCCTTAGCTAGGACTTTAGAATCTCGCGCCATCGATGTGTGCTGCGTCTCCGAAATGCGCATACAGGATCCAAGTAGTATCATTCATTCGACCTCACCATGTCAAAATAAAGAACCAACTCGATTCACACTTTGTGTATCTGGAAGCCCTGATTCTGCTTCTCGCGGCCTCTCTGGCGTAGGTATAGCATTGAGTCCTAGGGCAGAACTAGCTTTCTTAGACTGGATCACAGTAGAAAACCACTTGTGCGCTGTCCGACTAAACGGAACAGTAAGGACTCGGAAAGATAGGGACACTGGTCCTTGCCTCTTCGTCGTGTCTGCCTATTATTCCACTGACTGCAGCTCACATGATGTAAAAGATGAGTTTTACAGAAAGCTTTCCGACCTTCTCCGAAAGGTTAGACGCTCGGATGTAGTAATAGTGGCCGGTGACTTTAATGCTCAAGTAGGTATACTAAGCGATAGGGAAAGACACCTGGGTGGATCTTATGGTGTCGTGGCTCAAAGAACAGATAATGGCGACCGTCTGTTGCAGCCATGCTTCTTTCTTGCAAATTCTAACTTTAAGCATAAGGAAAAACAACTTTTAACATGGCGACCCCCTAATTCGTCCCAACGTCGGACCCAAATAGATCACATCGCTATCAGCTACCGATGGAGGGTCTCGATAGAAGACTGTCGCTCATTCTGGAGCACATGCTTAGATTCAGATCATGCTCTAGTGCAAGCGCATATTTGCCTGCGTTTTCCTGGACATAAGAAAAACGCTGCAAGGGAACCTCTTAGGGTCCTACTTAGTGATAGTCAAGCTAAGAGTATATTTCAGGAACAACTAGGAAAACAATTAGGCAGCCATGTATGTGATGCCCACCCGGAGGTAGCATAGAATGATGTCCGAAAAGCTGTGGAAACAGCAGTGATATCTGCTGGTACGGTAAACCACAAGGTTAGGGAGAAACACTGGATCTCAGCAGTACCTACCGCACTCATTCCATCTGGCTCTGAACATAACGAAGAGCGGAGTCGGCTTAAGCGCAAACTAACAAGAAGCCTACGCAATGATCGTGAACAGTGGTGGGTAGCGAAAGCAAGAGAGATGGAAAAGGCAGCAGCAATGGGTAATAGCAGACAATTGTTTAGACTTGTTAAGGAAACCGACTGTTAGCGTAACACTCTTTGAGAAAGATGGACATATTATACATTCTCAATCCAGGAGATTGGATCGATGGGCAGAACACTTTAGGGACCAGTTCAACTGGTCTTCAGTCACACTTCGGTTTCCCACGATCTCCAGTCATCCTGAATGGCAAGTTAATGTAGGTCCTCCGTCTCTTTACGAAGTTGAAAAAGCTATCGGAAATCTGAAGCGAGGCAGAGCATCAGGCCCTGACAGGTTTACTCCTGAGATTTTTAAGGATGGTAGTGCAGTATTAGCAGTGAGATTAACTGAGGTCTTATAATTTGGGAACTGGATGTAATCCCATCTGACTGGTTCCAATCACTGATTGTGCCAGTCTATAAGAAAGGACAAAAGTGCTCTTGTGACAATCACAGAGGAATCATTTTGACTAATATAATGTCTAAAATAATAGCTTCAATACTACTTCGATGCTGAACTAAAGCTCATAAAGAACAGACTAGAGAAAATCAGGCTGGTTTTCGACCTGGACGTGGTTGTATAGACCAGATATTCACACTACGTCAGGTTCTAGAACAAAAATTCGGATGCCTCACAATAGTAGTATTTCTCGACCTTAAGGCGGCATTCGACTCTGTTGATCGTAAGGTTCTATGGCAGTGTTTGTCACTGAAAGGAGTACAAAAGAAGTATATTAACCTTGTAAAGACTCTCTATTCGAACACAACTGGTAGAGTGAGAACTTATGGTGAACTGTCATCGGAATTGATTACGTCAAGTGGTGTTCGTCAGGGTTGTCCACTCTCTCCATTCTTGTTCAACTTTGTCGTCGACGTACTTATAGAGATAACACTTTCCTCGTCTAGATTTCCAGGGGTTGAACTTCTACCAGGAGGTTCACTTGTTGACTTAGAATATGCTGATAACATAGTTTTATTTGGCGAAGACGCTGACAAAATGCAGAGTCGTCTGACCACTCTAAGCAACAATGCAAGCATGTTCGGGATGCGATTCTCTCCCTCGGAATGCAAAATGTTGCTTCAGAATTGGGTTGCATCAAAACCCGAACTAATGATAGGGAGTGAAGTAGTTGAGCGTGTCGATCGCTTCATTTATCTTGGGAGTCTCATCAGCCCTTGTGGTCTGGTGTGTGACAAAATCTCAGCACGGATACAGAAGGCTCGACTAGCTTTTGCCAACTTGCGTTATTTATGGCGTAGGCGAGATATCCGTCTATCAACCAAGGGACATGTTTACTGCGCAGCAGTTCGTTCCGTCCCACTTTATGGCAGTGAAACATGGCCGGTAAGAGTAGAGGATATTCGTAGGTTACTAGTATTCGATCATAGGTGTCTTCGAAACATTGCTCGTATATCCTGGGACCATCGAGTAAGTAACGCAGTTGTTAGGAAACGGGTACTAGTTAAGGATGGCAAATCAATTGATGACGTAGTGAAACTTCATCAGTTGAGATGGCTGGGACATGTGTTATGTATGCCCAACCACCAACTGCCTCGATGTGCGATGTTTTGTTGTATAGGAGTAGATTGGAAGAAAGCTAGGAGCGGCCAGACCAAAACATGGCACAAGTCCATGAAGTCACTGACAAGTAGACTGGGTCATATTGGTAGGTGTAGACTACCTGGTTGGGGACCACGAGATGATAGCAACCGATGGTTAGAGATCTTGAATGACATGGCTCAATATCGTTTGCTCAGGTGCATCCACTCTTTGTGTTCTCTCATGTTCTAATCTTCTGAATTCTTCATATCCCTTTATTTATTCTCTTTCCAAATTTATTTCACTGTATTATACTCCTTGAATAACATCTTCAAACCCAAATTTTTCCGATTACTGCTTGTACTCTTACTACCTCTACAACTACACGATTTGAATCGACAATTCTATTTGTGTGCTAATGTGGTATGGCAACTCGAACTAATGTACGTACGTACGTACGAAGTTCTACGTTGTTACTGACTGACTGCCTGGGAAATGTAATTGTCTCATTTGTCGAAGGCTAAGAGTAATTAATTTGGTGAATGGAATTGTTAAGGTGATGATTTGAATATTTATGATTGCTTGGAATTGAATGGTTTTAATTTTAATATAACATTTGATAGTTTTGTTCAGTTAGATTCTACTACTTTATCTTCGCATTTTCATCATTTCGACAGTGTTGTCCTGGTTTTGTTGACACTGATATGACTGACCATAAAGGTGTGAAGACAACGGATGCAGGTGAGTATATGACCATATATATATACCCGGTCGTTGTTCTTGATAAACAAGGGACAAGGCAGGATTTATCTCAATGCTGCGGAATAAATCTGTTTTACTCCTTTAGGTGCTGACACGCCGTTCTATTTGGCCACACTACCTTTAGGATCAAACAAACCTATCAATCAGTTCGTATATGAAAGGAGAGTGGTTAAATGGTCCAAATGATCTCTACATAAATTTTATTCTACCCAGATATATGAACAGAATGTTATTGCTGAATTTTCTTATCAACCTACGTGATGTTACCCACTTGTTTTATTAGATTTCAGATGTGAATCATACTGTTTCTTAGTCTAATCTGTTTACGAATAGAAGCGATTTCTACCTTATTATTATTATTATTATTATTATTATTATTATTATTATTATTATTATTATTATTATTATTATTATCGTTGTTGCTATTCTGTGATGTTCGGCTGTACCATGTGTTGTTATTCAGAACATAGCTTCTTCGGTTTCATTTAATTTACTGGAATGTTTGTTTTGTGCATGTATTTCATTTTGGTCTGTTCATATGATTCTAACGTGTTTTCAAGTAATGAATGTTGAAAATGTTTACTGTGTGCAAACTGTTTAGTGAGACAACTGGTGTTTTACTTTGAATTGAAGCTGGGAGTGGATGGTTTATGTCTGAGTCTGCCTCCAGTGAAATATATATGACGATGGCGAATTGTTATGAACAGGTGACTTGTAATAGTTTATTCTGAATTGAAATAGATTTCTGCACAAGTTTTATTTTATTTGATGAAATGTTCACTCACCGTTCTTCATTATATTCTGTCATTAGGTAATTTCGAGCAGCATTCATCAAACGAACTTTCGTTATTCTACAATGGAGAGTAGTATGAATGTTTCGGTTTTTGTGGAAGATTGGTTTTAAGAATATTTGTTGAAAGGGATGAGATTAGTGGGGTCCCTACGTAGCTCGTTGTCTTGGTTTTACTTCTTTCAAGTTTGATTTGGTTATGCAGTAACTTATGTATCATATATACATGAATGTACATTGTCTGTTACTCATGCTCAGTAGTATACTTAGTTATTATGGCTCACAACATCCAAGTAAAATTGGAAACTGATCTACAGTTGCTTTGTGATGTTGTTTGTAACCATATTGATGTTTGGAGTTGTAGTGTAAATCGGGTTTCTTAATTGATCGTGTCTGTAAAACATTATCTGAGTACCTATTAATTTACCAATTATCCAAAGTTTTCCAACATATTCCAATGAACCCTCATCCAAGTAATTTAGAGAGTTTTTTAGTTGTCAGGCGTTAGGTCAGTTGTCGAGTTTCCACTTTTGTTAATATCTTATGAAGTGTCTCATATGATATCCATTAGTCCCTCGCCAATCAAAAGTTTTTAACATAACTCGGAAAGATTTGAAGATTGATATCTGTTGTCTTCAATCCTCAACAATGTTAAGATTTTTCTATCAACTTAAAGAAAAGTATGATGTTTAATTGTAAGCATGGTTCACAAAATAATCTCTACTAACTGTTTATGTGTTTGTGATGATACGCTGTTGTTATTACTTATATATGAGTATGGCTATGCATAACTACCCACTATTTGTGTATAGTTCGACTAGATGCTAACTGGGAAAATGATTGTCGTGTTATCCACTTGTAGAAGGTAGTGTTCCCCTCTATATAAGCAATAACTTCAGATAAAACAGTTTCAAAAGTTTAACTTTGCTTGACATTCGCTCCGTTTTGGCAATTGTATATCCAAGAACGATCACACAAAAATCAAACTGCTTTATCCGGAGAAAGTTCTATGCTTATATAAGTATGTAGTGGATTGTCTTAGAGATAACTCCTAAGGCTTCGTGTATCAATCGTCTTGATTTTCATTATTAAATAAATCCTGACAGTGTATCAATTTTGGATGACAATGCGAGGTGTCGACTACAGTTTGTTACTGAACAGCGCAGATCACTGAGCCACAAGCTCACAGCGAATTTTAGCAGAAATACTAATGCGAGAGAGCAAATACAGAGGCGAATTAGGAGTTGAATAAATTGGTAAGATCCAAGCAAATATACATAGAAAAGCAAATGATTAATCGAGTGATTTAAGCTAGTAAGAGGGATGTTTGTGTAGGCTGTAACACGTGACCAAACATACATGTTCATATAGACACGATGATCATAATACAAAGATGTACACATTGTCACTGTTTGAATGACTGTTTAACAAGTTGATTGAAAGGCTTGACAAGTTAGATGAAAACACATATTACGTTGGAACGAAGAATAAATAAATTGTAACTGCTTTAAATATTCCTCTTAACATAAGCTTTCATTTGACCTATTGGCTACAGTTATGCGACTTAACATTATTAATTTATTCACAATCTATTAGTTACAACCTCCTATACTCATAACCACTTTTGGCTTGATCCCGCGTAGTAATTATTTTTCATTTTATGGTGTTACACCGTCTGGTCTGTTTGTGTCTAAACCACGTATATCTGAAATATACGATTCATATGGCGGAGACTTGTTTGTGTTTGGACTGAACGGGCTGAGGTAGGCGAGAAGCGACTGTGAAGAGGAACAATAGAGTTCCATAGTTTATTTAAGGCTCCTCGTGCTGGCTGACGTGTTATTGGTTTGGCACAGAGACAAAGTTGTAGAAGTCGGCATTCTTATTGGTGGTTTTGTGACGTATTGTTTAACGGGTCATATGGCATAACAACTTGAGTGTAGGTGAAGTGCTGTAGGTAGACGAAAACTAGTTAATTTGAGTCTTGAAGTTAAAATGATGGGTAAAAATATGCCATGCCGATGACCTTAAGTGATTTGTCACTCATTTAGAAAACAGTGCCTAGTTGTAAAGCAACGGAGTTAAAGTGCAATAGTGATTTTAATATGATAAGTAATCTGCCGCGTGTTGAATTATTTTTTAACACAAACGAAAAGTTTTAAGTTTAAGTACCAGAAGTTGGGCCAGCGTTGTGAGTTAGGGTTGTTTATGTCGCCAATCAATATCAACTATGATGAACACAGTTAGGGTTAGATATCAGGAGTTAAAGAAACGTTTTGTCAAAATTACGAATTAAGTGTGAAATAATCACGAAATGACATCAGTTTTATTGCAGTGATACCCTACCGCTTGTTTACAAGCTGGAATATCTTGGGGTTGAGATTTAGAGTGGGAGAATACGTCTAGTAATACTGTCTAAGCCCTTGAATATGCATTGAATCACATCAAGAACTTTGACACAAAACCTGCATCAGCGACAGATATTCCTTGTGATCTGGCTCATGCATCATACCATCAAGTGCTTCAAAGTCAGCCAGTTCAATTCTAGACCTAGCGGTCGGTGGTTCAGATATGGATTTACACAGCGTGGAAGATTTATACTAGAACGAGGCAGTTGTATATTACTCTAGGTTTTGTGCATCCTGGAATAAATGTCACTAGCTGATGAAAACTACCTCGCACTTCGTTATCGTATTGCTCGTTTCTTTAGTCGTAACGGCAATGGCTAGACTTTCAGTTCCGAAACAATTCAAATGAAGTAAAATATCAGTATCGAATTTTGATAATCAGAGGTAGTCGGATTGATGAGCTAACTAAAGATTCCCAGAATAGTCCGATTTCAAAACGAAGGCAACACGATGAGCACAAATAAACGTGTTTTGTTTGGGATTCGTAATACGCGCGGTACGAGATACAAAAGAACCATCAACCAGTATAAATAGCACACGACCTCAATGATGTGCCGGACTCATGTCACTACAATTAGAAACAGAGATACAAGTTATGTGGATAAATAATGAGTGATGAGAATGGGACATTATAAACAAAAACGAAAAGCACTGAAATATATGAACCCAGAGCACGGCATATTTTTAGCTTCTCTTTTTGCACACAACACTAATCGGCTAGTGTAATGATGTTAAACAAACATGATTAAAACTCGATATCTGTATAGAATCGTCACGTGAACACAGCAACATGCGTTTTATAAACATTGGTATTTATACTATCCTTACGGGAAATATTTTGTTAAGTGAAGGAATGATTGCTTTCCGAAATAGACAGCAACGGAAAAGTAATAATCAACACAATCTGGATTAGTTAATATCACCAAGCAGAAAAACTAAAATCTTTATTGCTCCAGTAAAAGTAGACTTGATATTTCAAATAAATGAGAATCATACAAAGTACTAATTAGTTCAGTTCATATTAATATGTACTTTAGTTTATCTATTTAAGTTAAAGAATCAACATATGCAAAATGTCATGTTTATCTAGTTCGTGATGATTATTGATTAACTTTTAAGGTCAGGTTTAAACGATTTATTCTGAAGACTATTTAATAAAGTGGTAAGAAGTTACACGAAATTAATTCGGGTTTACATGAATAGTGAATACTGGTTTACATTATGTTGCGTGTTAATCCGATAATCATGAGAAATCTATAATTCAGGTCTCCTATACATATCTCCTATATATCAATTAACTAATCAATTATGAGGTCATATTCTCACACAACAGTCACTAATAACTAAATCGTGAATGATTGAAATCGAGTGATAAAAGTACAAATCAATATTATCTCTGAACAAGCGAGTTATATATTTCTATCCTAACAGTTAGAATTGTTAATTCACAGTAGTACGTTCTTCATTGATTTGCATGACCTTCTCTGTTAGATCCGCATGAAAAACATTGATCGGAAGACATCAGAAAAAATAACAAAATTCTGGAATTTTCTCAGAATCGAAGTATGAAATAAGCACACTGGTGTAATGGGAAGTTTGCTGACAATGCTAAAACTTCTGTAATTGTTTCGCAGTTTATTATCATTTGTGTTTTGTTTGTTTAGTTAGTAGGTAGTTTTATCACTGTATTTTCATATTCTCCCCTTTGTGAATCTCAAGTTAACCCACTAGCGATTGTTATCTTTTTTCTATCACTTAATTATTAATAATCTATTATATACTGCTTGCTTCGTTGTTTGTCACTTATGGTATGGTTCCGAATTTCACGTGCTCCCGAGGTAATGATAGTTCGTGTATATAAGCTAATGAGTGTTTGAGATATGTACTGTAATGGGCTAGGTGAATGAAATGTGATAATCATAGAGGCTTATATACAGACTTTCCTTGGGACGTGAATCTAGGAATCGACAAAGGCTTGTAGCGGTAAA